GAGAACAAACACTGCTTGCGAAGCCAAGCTATCAGCCTGGCGAAAGACCCATACATATGCAGTTGTGAGTACAGTCGTTGTTGGTATCGCCTTCGGTGGATCCCCTTTACGAGGTATATCAAAATGGACCTTAGGTGGGGCTCCCTATGGTGCCACGAAGCGTGTCAAGGGTGGTCCGAAATTGAGCGGCGCCGCCATGCGAACTGCGCCACTGGGACCTTAGGTGGAACTCCTTGTGGGGTCACGACATGTGTGAGGGGTGTGCCAAAATCCCACCAGCCCTTTGGGCGTGAGTGGTTTAGCGAGCTCTCTCTGTTCTCAACCCCCCAACCCCCCTTCTTCCCCTTCGGGGAGGGGTTTATCCCTCCCCCTACCCCCTCCCCCTGGGCCTGGAGAGGGAGTTCCGCGGGTGGTCAGGGGGGTCTTTTTCGACGCCTGGGAGGGCCAAAAAACGACGACCCTCACGAGGATTCTGGCTCCGACGGGGGGACCCTCTTGTAGCCCCCTCCTCTTCTGTGAAGCCAAAAATCGTTGCTTTTACGAGGGTTTTGGCCCCATTTTGGCCTCCCGAGGGGGCCGCGCTCATCTTCCTTCATAGCAGCGCCTTTTTGCGCTTCTGAGGAGGTCGCAAGAGGCCCCAAGATGGCCCCAAGAGGCCCCCAGGAGCCTCCCAAGAGGCCTCCAAGAGGCCCCCAAGAGGCCCCCAAGAGGCCCCAAGATGGGCCCAAGAGGCCCCCAAGAGGCCCCCAAGAGGCCCCCAAGAGGCCCCCAGAGTCCCCAAGAGGCCCCCAAGAGGCCCCCAAGAGGCCCCCAAGAGGCCCCCAAGAGGCCCCCAAGAGGCCCCCCCAAGAGGCCCCACGAGGAGCCCGAACGACTCACACCAGGACGAGGGGCCCGAACGACTCACACCACGAAGAGCCCGAACGACTCACACCAGAAGGAGGGGCCCGAACGACTCACACCAGGACGAGGCGCCCGAACGACTCACACCACGAGGAGCCCGAACGACTCACACCACGACGCGGGCCCCGAACGACTCACACCACGAGGAGCCCGAACGAGTCACACCAGGAGGAGGGGCCCGAACGACTCACACCAGGATGAGGGGCCCGAACAACTCACACCACGAGAAGCCCGAACGACTCACACCAGGACGAAGAGCCCGAACGACTCACACCACGAAGAGCCCGAACGACTCACACCAGGAAGAAGGGCCCGAACGACTCACACCAGGACGAGAAACCCCAAACGACTCAAATCACGAGGAGCGCTTTCTCTCCCTCCTCCTCCGCCTCGTCCTTCTCCCGCTCCCCCACAAGGAGGATGTACAAGGAGGCGGGAGGAAGGAGGAACAGGGGAGATATGCGGGGCCAAGCGGACACACGCCTGAAAAACACGACTGTCGGCATGCTTCGCAAGAGTTGCTGCTGTGAGATGGGCTGGTGGGGATACGCGAAGCGTAACGAATTGAGCGGCGCCGCTATGCGAACTGCGCCATTGGGACCTTAGGTGGAGCACCATATGGGGCCACGAAGCGGGTCAAGGGTGGTCCAAAATGAGGCGGCGCCGCCATGCGAACTGCGCCAGTGGGACCTTAGGTGGAACCCCCTTGTGGGGCCACGAAACGTGCGAAGGGTATACCGACATGGGGCGGCGCCGCCATGCGAACTGCGCCACGGTGACCTTAGGAACTCCCAATGGGGCCACGAAGCGTGCGAGGGGTGTGCAAAAATAGTGCGGGCTGCTCCACTGGGACCTTAGCTGGAGCCCCCTGTGGGACCACGAAACGTGTGAGGGGTGTGCCAAAATTGGACCGCGCTGCCATGCGAACTGCGCCACTGGGACCTTAAGTGGAGCTCCCTATGGGTCCACGAAGCGTGTGACGGGTGTTCCGAAATGAGGCGGCGGCGCTATGCGAACTGCGCCACGGTGACCTTAGGTGGAACTCCTTGTGGGACCACGAAACGCGTGATGGGGTATACCTACATGGGGCGGCGCCGCCACGCGAAGTGCGCTGGGACCTTAGGAACTCACGATGGGGCCACGAAGCGTGTGAGGGTTGTGCCAAAATGGGGCGGTGTCGCCATGCGAACTGCGCCACTAGGACCGTCGGTAGAACTCCCCGTGGGGCCACGAAACGTGTGAGAGGTGTGCCAAAATGGTTGGGTGCCGCCATGCGAACTGCGCCACTGAGACCTTAGGTGGAGCTCCCGATGGGGTCGCGAATCGTATGAGGGTATGCCAAAATGGGGCGGCGCCGCCATGCGAACTGCGCCACTGGGGCCTTAGGTGGTGCCCGAGGGAGAGAGGGCCGAGGGAGGAAGGGAGGGAGGGAGGGAGGGAGGAGAAGGAAGAGAGAGGAGGAGGAGGAGGAGGAGGAGGAGGAGCAGGAGGAGGAGGAGGACTGAGCAGGAGGAGGGGGAGGAGGAGGGAGGAGGAGGCGGAGGAGGAGGAGGTGGGCGGAGGAGGAGGGCGGAGGAGGAGGAGGAGGAGGAGGAGGAGGAGGAGGAGGAGGGGGAGGAGGAGGAGGAGGAGGAGGAGGACCGGGCCGAACAAGCACACCGACCAGGCCCACACTTTCGCCAACTCGAAGGGCAGGGGCAAAGGCAGGGGCAATCATGGCGGCAAGAGCATAACGGGAAAGGCAGAGCCTCGGACAGACAGCCAAAGCAAGGACAGCAAAAAGGAAACAAAGGAAAAACAGAGACACGCATTTCAAGGGCAAAAGAGCTGAAACTGCGCCAGCAAGGATGCCGTTACGACGGCATGATGGTGGAAAGCGAAGGCCACCCCAAAAGGCAAGGGTGGCAAAGGAAAAAAGACTACGGCAAAACACATGGAGGAACATAGTAAAGACCGACACAAGGTCTAAGAAATAATTCAAATGGCTGGTAGATGTGACTACTGGCCTCGACGCTGGAGATATTCTTACCATCTTGCAGTGGGAACGATGTATCCAACATAAGTCAGATATACGACCCTCGCTCCAGGTCTTTACACGAAGCAGCTGACAATCCATGGCCTATCAAATGGCTGCTGCTTTGGCGGCACTGGAAGCACATCACCTGATCACGAGCTGTTCCATCGTTGGGCCGATTCCGCTGCAGCTGCAAACTTGAGGCAACAAACTCAAATGGCGATGGAATTGCTTCGCACTTTCCTTCATCAACGCCTTTCCGCTTCACACAGACACGATCGACTCCGCCTGCCAAGTTCTGCAAGCAGAGCGAGGCGGTCACGCGTCGTCAGTGGCTTCCCCTGACCTGGTGGTGTGACGTCGCAAGCACACGATTGCTGGCAGCAGCGTCGCGGGCAAGAGCCAGTGCACGTTTTCAAGCCGCGGCTATGCACATGCCGCTCCACTGGAAACCTTGGCTCTGAAACTATTGCAGGCCAGCGGCTATGCGGCGCTGCCGAATGACAAAGACCAGGGCTTCAGCCTCATCCAGAAAGCATACCTCCCTCTGGTCTCGTCCACGGTGCTGGACTCCCACAGGTACTGCGCCAGCAGCCCCCACGGCCAGATGCAAGCGGCGCTGAGCAGCTACCACAAGATCTGCCAGAGGGTATCCAACGAGGTTGGCGAGGAAGATTTGGCAGGCGCACTCTTCCGCAGCGCTGGGCCCTCGAAAGTAACATGCCGCAGCAGAATGCACACCCTCGGAAAAACTCACAAGACCGCAGGCGAGGTGGTGCCAAGACCAGTGCGCGCCTCCCCGACACACATGTTTGGTTGAGTGCGTGTGCGGTACGTGGACGGCGGGCAACCTCCGTCAGAAACCGCAGACGCGCGCCCCGTTCCTGTCAAGTGGTTCCGCCGGCTTGACCAGCAGGCTGGACCACTTCACGGACACGGAAGTGTCCAAATGCCATTTCGCCAAGGAGGACGTCAAAGACGTTGACATGTGCGGCGACCCGGAAGAGATCACAAGCGCGGTCCTCACGTTCTGGCCGGCCAGCGACCCTACGAGGGTCACGCTTGGACGGGCCATCATGTACTCACAAGGGACGCGTCGGAAAGCCGTACCTACCAGGCGACGGTCGGCACGGGCATGGGTTTGCAGAACAGCGGTGAAATTGCTGACTGCGCGCTTCTGGCACTGATGGAGCTGGGCATAGCTGGGCCAGAGAGGCCTGCGGCAGCTGGCATCATGGAGTATTTCAGGTTTCCGCGACGACATCCTGATTCCCGACCGTGGCCTTCTCTTGGCCACCAAGCAGCTCTTTCTTGAAGTGCGAAGGCGTTCGAAATTCGATGTGCTCGCCATAAGAGGGGGAAGGGGTTCGAACCCCCCCTCCCCCTTCCAGCGCCAGGGGGGGGGTCGAAAATCTCACCCCCCCCTTTGAAGGGGGGGGTCCGAACCCCCCCCCCCCCCTTTTCAATTACAGGGTGATCCAGTGGCGCACTTTCCTTATTGGGACATCTCCTCCTTGAAGGTGGTGATCGCAAAGCGTGGCATGGGGCTCGCGGCGCCACATCTCCTGAAACCGGCGGACCTTTCCCCGCACCCTAACGCACTCTAGCGCCCACCCAGAGTGCATACACACACATCGTGACCCAAAGAGTACATACGCTCAGAGAGTCCGTAGTTGAAGTAGTAGATCCAGCCTACTCCGCACTGCTATGCGTTCGGTGCTGAATCGATGCAGGGCATCGCTCGCAAGCGAGATCACACCCGGGGTGATGAAGCAGGTCGCTGTTTCTCGGCTGCGGCAGTCGAATGCGGCCAGGATCAGCCGTTCTGCCTTCAGCTGGCTGGTGGTGGGATTCCATCCAGCCCTGGCCAGGGAAATCAACAGCGAGGTGCGTGCCCTGAACGGGGATCCCACCCTTAGGTGACAGTCGGGAGAGGAAAGAGGAGGAGGAGGAGGAGGAGGAGGAGGAGGAGGAGGAGGAGGAGGAGGAGGAGGAGGGGTGAGGGAGAGGGGGAGGAGCGGATCAGAGGAAGGAGGGGGGGGGGAGGAAGGGGGAACTGCAGTCCAGGAGAAGTGGAAGAGGAGAAGACGCACCCACTGTCTGAGGAGGAGGAGGAGGAGGAGCAGCAGCAGCAGCAGCAGCAGCTCGGTGCGAAGGAGGTCCGCGCGCCGGCGGCGGCGCGCCCACGCGGAGCCCAGCCAGAGAAGGGCGCGCAGCTCACGCCTCCAGGCCGAGAGCGATGTCGTCATGGGGTTGGCTCAGGATGCATGCCGGGAATTCCATGAGGTATTCAGCGGCTCCGTAACGGGTGCTCACCAACGGGTACTTGGTGGAAAGCTGCCGAAGGTTGCCACTCTGGGGCCTCCTCTTCTGGCACTGCAGCGTCGTCCACATCGGGGTGGAGCGGGTTCGCCGGGCCACTGGCCAAAAATACCCGTTAATGGAGTCCCCGTTAGAGGGGCGCTGAGGTCCGAGTAGATGGGGTCGAAAGATCGCGCCGCATCACCAATGCATCGCTGGTGCATCGGCGGTGCATCGGCGATGCATCCGCCATGCATCGCCGACGTCGGCGTGGGGAAAATCGGGCTTCACATCGAGCCGCATCGGCGATGCATCGGCGATGCCGCGCGATCCTCCGACCCCATGTACTCGGATTCCATCCGATGATCCTCACAACGTGTGTTGGCGCCAACGTGTGTTTCTCCACCGAGGCCCTTCCATACGACGCTGGCGATGCAATGATCTGCGGGTGTGGCTGAACGGGGTAAAAACACACACACAGACACAGACACACACACACACACACGGGGCTAACACACGTCCTGGAGATCATCGACCCATCTCGGAGGCCCGTGAGCATCTGGCGGCCCCCGCTCCCGGAGCCCGCGCGGCACAGCCGGGGGGCATCTCGCGGACCGCGTAAGTCACCACCTCTTGAAGCTGAACCCAACAAAGGTCGTGGCCCGTGACACTCACAGCTTGGTCTTGGGGCAGGAGCTTGAGGGGCCGAGGACGGGGGGTGCCCGATTGCCCAGCATCTCGTCCAGCATCCCCTGCATGCGCGCCCGCAGGTCGGCCGCGAGCGCGATCGCCTGCGGTGCCCAAAACTAGAACGAGAGAACACGCCATTAACATAAACTTCTGGCGCTCCGCGCGAATTTCTCTGATCTGCACTGGACCCCTCTGCCTGGCGCGCGGAGCGCGCCAGGGGCGCCGCCGGAGGCGCCGCTGGGGGGGCTCGGCGCGGATCCAAGAAATCCGCGCGGAGCGACACAAGTTTCTGTTTGTGGCGCTTCTCTTCTCCGTCGGAAAAGTGCACGCCACCACTGCCTCCTTCCAGCCCCCATGACCTCTCCCAGGAGAGAGGATGTGGGAAGAGGAGGGCACGAGGAGGGAGGGGGAATGGAGAGAGGTGGTGGTACCTCGGCGGTGGACAGACCTCCCTTCAGCAGACCTCCTCTTCGTGAAAACGGCCCGGGACCGAGACCGACGGACCCGGGCCTGCAAAAGTGACGGCCGCGAGGCCCCCTCGCGAACCGAAAGCGGCCAATTCCTCAGTCGACGTGTCAGGGTGGGAGCTCTGTCCAACCCCGAGTAAGGGCCCCCCAAGCTCCAAGCATAGCGAAGCACCTCCCGTCGTGATTCTTCCAAGACTCGAGGGGGAGGAGGAGGAGGAGGAGGAGGAGGAGGAGGAGGAGGAGGAGGAGGACGAGGAGGAGGAGGAGGAGGAGGAGGAGGAGGAGGGAGGTAGGAGGGGGGGGGGGAGGGAGGAGGAGGAGGTAGGAGGTCTACCGACCTCCAATCCAGGGTAGGAGGTCTATCCACCTCCGAGTACCTCCTTGGTCCCCGCGATCGCCTGCTCCCGCGCGTCGGCCCCGGGGCCCGCCAGGCGCGCCGCGGCCTCGCGGGCGCTGTGGTGCAGCCGCTCGGCCCGCAGCTGGATCGAGGACGGCCGGCCGCCTATGGCCGCGTCCACGGGCCAGCAGTCCGCCTGGCCGGTCATCACCCAGGCCCAGACCTTCACGGGGGCACGCGACTAAAATCATCCCAGTGCGACCCTACCTAGGAGTTGGAGGATCTAGGAAAGCAACATCTATATGAAGCTAAGGTAAGCTAAGATGAAGCTAAGCTAAGATGAAATAAGCTAAGCTAAGATGAGATAGGCAACGCTACGCTAAGGGGACGTAACTGGGGGAACCGCGGGGCGGATACTGGGGGAACCGCCCGGGGCGAGTTGCACTGCCCGGCCCTTTTAAGCATACCGAGTAAGAACCCTTCTAGGCAGAGCCTAGGTAGGGAAAAATGGAGTAACATGTGTTTCTTTTTAATATGTATAGATGTATGCACAGCATGTATACATACATTCATATATAAATTATAGAAACCGGCAAGATAACAATAAAGCAAAAACAAACCAACGCGGGGGGGGCGGGTAGGACACGAATAGACCGCGCGCTCGCGGCGACGCTCGCGGGCGCTCGGGGCCGTGCAGAGGCATACTAATACTAATACAACATGTCCTCCTTGGGGGCGCGCGTCCGACCCGAACATCTAGTACACCCTGCTTGTAGTACATCGTTCGTATATATATATATATAGTTTCCCGAGCGGTGTGGCCAGAAGGCGCCCGCCACGACGCACGTACTACAAGAGTTCTCGGCGCGCGCGCGTGGGAGGGCGACGCACATAGTATTAGTTTGTTGGGGTCGCGCCGATTGAGTAGCTCTTGGAAACGACAGGGCCGTGTTTTGTCCGTGCTCGTTCTGCCTGTTTTTGTTCACCTGCTTCGGTGCCGCTTTTGTTTCCGGTGCCGACGCCGATGTCGAGTCCGTTTACGGCTCTGGCTTCAGTCCAGAAGAATGCTTACGTCTCGGCGCACCGTTTTTGTTACTGCTTTCAGTCTCGGAATCCAGATTTCACTTTTGAAAAGGGTAGAACGAAAGGCCTGCCGTCTCCAAACAAACCCTTTTGATAACGGTAGAAAACAGCCCTGCCGTCTCCAAGAACCACTAAGACCCAGACCTCCATGTCGTGGCGGATGCAAATATCCATGCCGCCGGCCCGGAACGGAAGCAGCACGTCCGGCTCCGGGTTGAGGTCGCCCTCGGGGAATATCGCAAGGTGACCCCCGCCCTCGATGCACCTGTCCACATTGGCCATGAGCTCCGCCATCTTTGCCTTGTCAACGGCGTAGTTACCTCTCGAGGAAGAGGTGAAGGGGACGGGCATGTGGCCCACGTGGTTCGCGATCCTGCCCAGGACGGGCATGCCCAGGTGCTTCCTCGCCATCAATGTCTTCGCCTCCCCCACGAGATGCCGCGGCATGTAAGCGCAGATCAGGACCGTGTCCATGTAAGAAGCGTGGTTCGCACAGATGAACAAGCGGCGCTCGCCCCCACCTGTCGGGAGCGGGACGGGACCCACCAGCGGCCCCCGGCCAGGTCGGGAGCAGCATCCACACCTCCACCGAGATCCGGAGACAGACGGTGCCTGTGCAGGTCTGGTGGTGGATGACCTCCGCGAAGTTCCAACGTGCTGAGTTGTTTCAGTGGACGGTAGGGATGCGGAGCTCCCGACCTGACCCTTCACCCCTCGCGCTGGGTTCGCCTTACAGATGCCCAGGGCGTGTTTTTTGGCGTTTTCAGCTCGGCATCTTGGAAATCGTCGTTCTAGCGCTTTCAGGTCTTAGCAAAAAACTAAAAACGCTTAAAAAAATGATGCGTTGTTTTAGCGCTTCCAGACATTGTTTTAGCGTCTTCAGCCTGATAACGCTAAAAAACAAACAAAACACGCCAAAAACAACTACCCTAAAAGCGCTTAAACAACGTAGCGTTGTTTTTACCGCTTTCAGCCTGTTAAGAGCCCCTCCCCCCCAAAAAAACGCTCAAAAAAAGCACAGGGCGCTTTAAGGCGAACCAAGGCCCCTCGCACGGATTTGCGCCACGGGCAACCCTCCTCTGGGCCCTGCTACTAGACACGGACCTTCTGGATGGTACTCGGGGCAGCCCCGGGGTCACAATTCTCTGCCAGGGCGCAAAAGCTACCCAGACATTCGAAGTCCTGATTCTTCCCAACCATCCTGTGGTTCTGGGTCCTCGTTTTGAAGAGACACCGCCCCGCGTTCCTCCTCTCCTCACCTTTCCTTCTCCCCCTCCTCCCACTTCCCTCCTCCGCAGTTCCAGTACAGCGTTTCGTGGCCCCTGAGGGGGCTCCAACGACTGTCCCAGTGGCGCAGTGCGCATGCGGTTCCCCTACCCAGTACAGCGCTTCGTGGCCCCAGAGGGAGCTCCACCAAAGGTCCCAGTGGCGCAGTCCGCATGCGGTTCCCCCGCCCAGTACAGCATTTCGTGGCCCAAGAGGGAGCTCCACCGAAGGTCCCAGTGGCGCAGTCCGCATGAGGTTCCCCCGGTCAGTACAGCGCTTCGTGGCCCAAGAGGGAGCTCCACCGAAGGTCCCAGTGGCGCAGTCCGCGTGCGATTCCCCCACCAGTACAGCGATTCGTGGCCCCAGAGGGAGCTCCACCGAAGGTCCCAGAGGCGCAGTCCGCATGAACCCAGTACAACGCTTCATGGCCCCGAAGGAAGCTCCACAAGAGGTCCCAGGAATCTCATGGTGACGCCACCGCGCGGCCAGAACAGCCCGAGAGGCTTCCAACATTGCCCGAAGAGGCTCCGAAGAGAGCCTCAGGAGCCCAAAACGGCCCAAGATGCAACGTGTTTGAAAGTTCTTGGCATTCTCGCCGTTTCGACTTTCCGACGCTCCGAGACTGACCACGAGGTTCCCAACGTCGCCCTAAGACGGCCCTAGAAGCTCACATGACGGCCCAAGAGGCCCCCAAGACGGCCCCAAGACGGCCAAAGAGGGTCCCAAGACGGTCCAAGAGGCGCACCTGACTGCCCAAAAGGGCCCTAAGGCGATTCCAAGAGAGGCCCAAGAATGAGCCCACGAACCGAACACTCAACCTTGCCGCTCCGAGAGGGCTCCAGGAGGCCACATGAAGGTCCCAGTCGCACAGTCCGCATGCGGTTCCCCCACCCAGTGCTGCGCTTCGTGGCCCCAGAGGGAGCTCCACCGAAGGTCCCAGTGGCGCAGTCCGCATGAGGTTCCCCCGCCGAGTGAAGCGCTTCGTGGCCCCAGAGGGAGCTCCACCGAAGGTCCCAGTGTCGCAGTCCGCGTGCGATTCCCCCAGCAGTACAGCGATTCGTGGCCCCATAGGGAGCTCCACCGAAGGTCCCAGTGGCGCAGTCCGCATGCGGTTCCCCCACCCCAGTACAGCGTTTCGTGGCCCCAGAGAGAGCTCCACCGAAGAAGTTTCCAGTGGCGCAGTCCGCATGCGCTTCCCCCACCCAATACAGCGCTTCGTGGTCCCAAAGGGAGCTCCACCAAAAGTCGTCCCAGTGGCGCAGTCCGCATGCGGTTCCCCAACCTGGTACAGCGTTTCGTGGCCTCAGAGGAAGCTCCACCGAAGAAGTTTCCAGTGGCGCAGCCCGCATGCGCTTCCCCCACCCAATACAGCGTTTCGTGGCCCCAGAGGGAGCTCCACCGAAGGTCCCAGTGGCGCAGTCCGCATAAGGTTCCCCCACCCAGTGCAGTGCTTCGTGGCCCAAGAGGGAGCTCCACCGAAGGTCCCAGTGGCGCAATCCTCATGCGGTTCCCCAGCCCAGCACAGCGCTCCGTGACCCCATAGGGAGCTCAGCCGAAGGTCCCACTGGCGGAACTCGCATGCAGTTCCTGCGCCCAGTACAACGCTTCGTGGCCCCATAGGGAGCTCCACCAAAAGTCCTGGTGGCGGAACTCGCGTGCGGTTCCTGCGCCCAGACCAGCGCTTCTTGGCCCCATAGGGACCTCAATCAAAGGTCCCAGTGACGGAACTCGCACGCGCTTGCCCGGCCAGTACAGCGTTTCGTGGCCCCAGAGTGATCTCCACCGAAGGTCTCAGTGGCGGAACTCGCATGCGGTTCCCCCGCCCAGTACAGCGTTTCGTGGCCCCAGAGGGAGCTCCAGGGAAGACGATACCCACAACTGCGGTACTCACAACTCTCACAACTGCATATGGTTGGGTTCTTCGCCTGTCTAATCTCAATGTACGGGGTCCCTGGAAGCCCCAACCCTTTCCCCAGAACCGGTTTTCATCTTATGTCGATGTTTGACGGTCCTGAAGCCTGGCGAGGGCCCCCCGAGGCCGGAAATGGCCAAAAACCTCCCGTCCGGATGTTTGTTCACGACGCGGTCATGTCTGGGCTGCCAGGGCGCAAAAGCTGTGGATTCCGAGACCCCCTTCTCGGAATGGACCCCCGGGACCCCTCCAGGTGTGCGTTTTGGCTACAGCCTCGAAGCGAAGTCGGCCGTGCCCACGAGGGCGCTTTCAAGCTCGTGCAGAAGTCCCCCCCCCACGCATCTGCGAGAGCCGCCGCCCCTGTCGGCGTGTGCGAGAGGCCGTTTCGTTTGACTCGTCGTCGTCGTCGTGGTCGTCGTCGTCGTCGTCGCCGCCCCCGCTCCCCCCGTTTCCCTGGGCCCTCCTGCTTAAGGGCGCCAGCCAGAGTGGAACAGCCTAAGCGAAATTGAGCAACGTCGTAGTCGAGTCGAACGGAAGCCTCTTCCATTTGATCCCTTCCCTGGCGGGGGGGGGGCGGGGGAACTGGGACAAATGAGACCCAATTCAACCAAATTACAGCCACTTTAGTATGGATGCCAAACACCACTTTCATATGAACTCCAACCAACGTACACGAGAAGCTTCACAAGCGTCGCACAGGCGTCTAACACGCGCCGTGCAGGCGTCTTACAGGCGTGTCTCAGAGGCGTCTCAGTGAGGCGTCTTACAGGCGCTTCTGAAATGCGTCTCTGAAAGGCGTCTCTGAGAGGCATCGTACAAGCGGCTGTGCGAGGCGTCTCTGAAAAGGCGTCTCTGAGAGGCATCGTACATGCGTCTCGGCGAGCCGTCTTGCAGGAGTCTGAAGGCGTCTTGCAGGCGGCTCTGAGAAGCGTCTGACAGGCGGCTTCGAGAGCCAGCTTACAGGCGGCTCTGAGAGGCGTCTTACACGCGGCCTTGAGAGGCAGCTTGCAGGCGCTTCTGAAAGGCGTCTTACAGGCGGTCTTGCGAGGCGTCTTGCACACGGCTCTGCGAGGCGTCACGCAGGCGGCTCTGGCAGAGACTGTACTGGCACCTCTGAGAGGCGTCTCTGGGAGACGTCGTACCGGCGGCTCTGAAAAGGCGTCCCTGAAAGGCGTCTCTGAGAGGCGTCTTACAGGCGGCTCTGGGAAGCGTCTTACGGGCGGCTCTGATGGGCGTGTTACGGGCGCCTCTGAGAGGCGCCTCTGAGAAGCGTCTTACAGGCACCTCTGACAGACGTCTTATGAGTCAGAGGAGCGTCTTACAGGCGCCTCTGAGAGGCGTGTTACAGGCGCCTCCGAGATGCGTCTCGAATAGGCGTCTCACAAGGCTATCTGGGGATTGCTTCTTTTGTGCCAGACGATGTAGTCAGAGTGAGAGAGGCTGAACCGAACAGTCGTTCACTGTCCCTGGGTGCGTGGCTGAAGTGGACTTCCGCGATGCGGATTATTGTTGTTGTTGGTGTTGTTGTTGCTGTTGTTGTTGTTGTTGCTTGTTGTTGGTTGTTGTTTGTTGTGGTCGTCCCGCCCGCGACCCGCCGCGCGACCCACCCGCGACCCACCCCGCGACCCACCCAAAATTTTCGGCGCCTGCGGCGGGCTTCTTTTGCATTCGTTCCAGGTGGAGAACCTGCGACCCACCCGCGACCCAAACCGCGTTCAGTGTACATATCAAAATGTTCGGCGCCTGCGGCGGGCTGCTTTTGAATTCCTTCCAGGTGGAGATGGAGAGCCCGCGACCCACCCGCGACCCAAACTACGTTCACTGAACAAGCCAAAACTCTGCGGCGGGTTTCTTTTGCATGCGTTCCAGGTGGAGAACCTGCGACACATCGCGTTCAGTGTACAAATCAAAATTGTCTGCGCCTGCGGCGGGCTGTTTTTGAATTCCTTCCAGGTGGAGGTGGAGAGCCAGCGACCCACCCGCGATCCAAACTACGTTCACTGAACAAGCCAAAAATTCGGCGCCTGCGGCGGGCTGGTTTTGCATTCCTTCGGGGTGGCCCACCCGGCGCTGAACTTGTCAGAGCACGCAAATCGGCGCCTGCGGCGGGCTTGCTCGCATTGGTTTGGGAAAGCGCCCTCCGTCCCCCCCTCCTTTTCCTCCTCGCCCGCGAGGGCGAGGAGGAAAAGGAAGGGGGACGGAGGGGGACGACGAGAAAGGAGGGAGGAGGAGGGGGAGGAGGAAAAGGAGGAGGACGACGACGACAGAAAGGAGGAGGGGGGAGGATCGGGATGGGGGAGGAAGAGGAGGAGGAGGAGGAGGAAAAGGAGGAAGAGGAGGAGG